GCTGGCGCAGTCGGCCGGGGTTTTCGAGTGCCCGGCTAAAATAACAGCGTCGGGATCTGCCCCCTTCCTCCCCATCGCCTTGGCGGGGCGGACTAGGAAGAATGCGAGTTGGCTATCCATCAGGGAGACAGAGCAACAGCCAGCCGAAGAAAGAGGGGCATTTTAGGAGGAAAGCCAGGGAAATTTGATCATTAAGAAATCCTCCTGGCTGTCTGGGGGAATTTAATTAAATTGCTGGAAAGGGCTGTAAGCACATCTGGATCCAATATGTGCAGCTTTGATTTTTTTCTTTCTTTCTTTCTTTTTTTTTTTTTTTTGTTTCATTTTTTTTTTTTTTTTTTTTTTTGTTCACTCTTTTCCCATCTCGCTGTTGAAGGAGGGGGGGAATAAAAGGGAAATAGCAGAGCCACGGAGTATTTGTTCATCTGGGACTGGGATTCCTGGCAGGGAAAGAAAGAGAGGGAGAAAAGAAAGAGCAAAAGAAAGAGGCAGAAACAGAGGGAATACAAAAACTGGGAGAAGAACCTTCACCAAGGGCCTGGCTGGGGTGCTTTATATTGCCAGCAACCGCAGAGACAAGGAGCTAGGAGGGAACGGGGGGAGCTGTGAGAGCTGAAGGGGAGAGGAGGAGGAGAGGAGCTAGCCCAGGGCACACTGCGCTTTCGGGGCCTGGCAAGGATGGAGGGAGAAATGGGAATTGCTCAGCGGATAGAGGAATATCATTCCCGCTGGGAGCGGCAGGGCTGGGCACAGTGAGAGCCCCCGGCCCGTCCAGCTCCCACCATCTCCCATACTCCTTACTCCAAAAATCCTCCTTACGGCGTCGCAGAGGTGCAGCTCCACAGTAAGGAAAACCCTTCCACCCAGGGAGGATGTGGGCAAGCCAGCCCAATTTCTCCACACAGTAACAGCCAAAGGGCAAGATTCTGGGAATATGGAGGAGAGCAAGCACGCAGGTACCAATGGGAGCAGCACCAGCCCAAGCGGTGCTCGGGGGGTGCTGCACCGTCCCAGCCCGGGCGTTTCGGGGTGAGCAGGAGGGCTGGGGCTGGCAGGGCACGTCCGGATCCGCGCCGCGGCGAGCGCTGTGGAAGCGCGAGATGTTATCACAGCATGAGAGAAATATCAGGAACCCCCTAGGAGGACACAGAGTGAGATTACCAAAAAATACCTCTTTAAGAGAGGAAGATGAAGGACTAGCAAACAGAAACACATTCACCCCAAGGGCTGCAAACTGCAAACTTGGCAGGCTCTGGCCAGCCGGATCCGCACACCGAGGAGCCCGGCATGGCCCTGCTGGTTCGGTGCCGCTCTCGTTCGCCAGCCCAACCGCTCCGGCTCAGCGGAGCTGGACTCTCAGCACGCACCCCGCTCAGCACAGA